CAGCAGACAATATGTCGACAGACCATGAAAATGATATCAGGAGTATGTAAACAAATCCCATAAACAACATCTCCACGTATGGATAAACAAAAACAAATTGAAAAATATGTAAACAACCATAATAACACAATGCAAACTAATCACATGTTAACAATTCAAATGCACGCATGCATGTATATGTTTGTTTGTGTGTGTGTGTGTGTAAGTACAGAGAGGTGCCTACCTTATCTAATCTATCCATTTGATTCTGCAACACTGAATGCTGTTTGGCAGCATCTTGTAGTAACTTCAGAACAAAAAAAAATCAAGGTTCACATTTTTGTAATAGATTTTGAAAGAATTTAACAGTGTTTAAAATTTGAGTCAACTAACCAGTCAACCAATCAATCAACCAACCAATCAATCAATCAACAAAACAACAAAGCAACCAATCAATCAATCAATCAATCAATCAGTCAGTCAATCAATCAATCAATCAATCAATCAACAAACAAACAAACCAACTAATCGACCGATTAACCAACCAATCAACCAACTAATCGATCTATTAACGAACCAACCAACCTTTTTCCTCTGAATTTTGAACTCTTGCATGAACGATACCACATCCTTGATGATCTTATCGTTGATTTCCTCTGCAACAGCCTCATGTTGGCCTGCCATATCGTTCAGCTCTTTGGTGGAGAGCTGGAAACCTTTCTGACAGGTGAATCTGTGAATGAATGAGCGAGTGAGTGAAGAAATAAGTGAGTAAATGGATGAGTGAGTGAATGAATGAGTGAATGAATGAGTGAATGAATGAATGAGTGAATGAATGAGTGAATGAATGAATGAGTGAGTGAATGAGTGAATGAATGAATGAGTGAGTGAATGAATGAATGAGCAATAAAAAAATTTTGAGAAAGTGAATGAATGAGAGAATGAGATAATGAATGAGTAAACAATGACAATGAAAAAATGAGTGAACACACACACACATATATATAAATAAACAAGCACAAACACACACATACATACACACGCAATCATACATACAAACAAACATATTTAAACAACAAAAAGTTAGCCATACAAAAGTTAGTCTTATATATATATATATATATATATATATATACTTATATACAAAAATTATATATATGTCAAAACAAAATGAAAAACAATTAAGCTAAATTGGTTCAGTTTGAATAAACACACATAAGAAACTTTTGTAAATTTTTCAATCATACATATGTTGTGTGTATGTACGTATGTGTTTATGTATGGGTGTGTGTGTGTGAGAGTGTGTATGACGTATGTATGTTTGTGTCTATGTATGTGTGTGTGTGTGTGTGTGTATGTATGTTTGTGTGTGTGTGTGTGTGTGTGCGTGCGCATGTGAGTGTGTAATTCAACATGCTTAATCAAATAACTTCCAAACAAAGATTATGCTATTTGGATTGGAGAAACCACACTAAAAACAAAAATCAATAAATGATGTGTGTGTGTGCGCGTGTGTGAGTGTGTTACAGCCACAAACAAAACATCAAAATTAAAAATCACCACAAATGAAAACATGATGCAACCGTAACATAGCAAAATATATAATAACACTATATACGACATATCGTTACAAGAAATATAACATAACACAAAAAGACATCATCATACAAAAACAGAGCCTGATGTGACATTCACATAAATAACAATGAATAACACATGTGTGATATGCTGCATCATCATAAACAAATGTTTAACACACACACACACGCACGCGCGTACACACAAACACATACAAACACAAACATGCACAGATCGAAGCATATAACCATATGCACAAAAACGTACATAAACTTGGGCATCTGAATATACAAAACGTACATAGGCATACAAATCACATATACAATAACATATTCTTCATATACAAACATGCATAAAAAAACTCACACATTCACAGACACACGCACGCACACACAAACACAAACAAATACTTTGTACTTACTCGTCATCATCCTTCTTTTTTGTTGATACACTTTTTGCCAGCTTTCTAAAATTGAAGGAAAAAAAGAATATTTTTAATATTTAAGAAGAAAAATAGAACTTCAGTGAGTAATTTTCAATTTAACAATTTTTTTTAATAAAACAAGCAGATGAACAAAGCAAAATAATTAACCAATCACTAATAATAAATAATTATAAATTCATTTACTCGTCCATCCATCCACTCACTCATTAATTCATCCATCCATTCATTCATTTATTTATTAATTCATCCATTCATTCATTCATTCATTCATCCATTCATTAATTCATTGACATTGAAAAAAAAGAAATGTAAGCCCATACATTACAACAATGCATTAACCAATTTAAAAGAATTTCTGACCCCACAAAAACACCAATTTAAAATAAATTACACACACACACACACACACACACACGCCCACATACACACACACACACACGCCTACGTACAAACACACACATTCACAAACACACACACACAAACGTGGTATACGTTTACATATATAGCTATCAAAACACACTCATCTAAATTATTTTATTTACACACTATTTCATTTTGAGAAAATGTACTTCATTTCACTACCTGTTCTTGCTTTTTAAACATTTTCATTTTAAATCGAAAAATAAATGAATGAATGATTGGATTAACTAATTAATTAATTAATAATTCAGAGAGAAATATTTACTTGAGTTTGTTGGCATAGTCATTTTCAATGTTACAGCGCTCCTTATAAAACTGCATGACCTTTTCACACAAGTCATAACTCTTCTGTGTGTGACTCGAAATATTATCAAACTGATCCTGGAAAATATGATAAAGAAATAGACAAAAATTAATAATTAAATAAATGAATGATTGATTAAATTAATTAATTAATTAATAAACTTTTTAATTTTCTGCGTGTGACTCTGAATATTATCAAATTGATTCTGAAAAGATTTTAAAATATTTTTCAAAATTGAAAAATTAAAGTAATATACATAATTATAAGAAGATATTGTTGAATAAATATTACAATATGTAACTCTTATTTATAAATAAACGACATAATCATAATGAATGATTAATTAATATAACAACTAGTTGATAATCAAGCAACGAAAGGAAGAAGATACAAGATATAGATAGATAGACACAGGCAGACAGACAAACAGACAGACAGACAAAAATAGATAGATAGATAGAAAATCATAAGATAAAATAAAGCATATATAGTATAAATATAAAATATACTTATTAATTTTTATATACTGTCTATTCTTTTCTACCATCAATCTACTAATGTGAAAACACAAATAAATAACTATTTAATTAGTAAAATATTGTATTAATAACAAATTATTGCTAAAATTAGTGCCATTTTAAAAATTAAAAATAAAAAGAACTAACAAAATAAAAGTATTTAATTAAATTTAAAAACAAAAAGCCATGGATGGCCAACTTAAAGGCAGCAGAACAGACATCAGTGGTTAAGCTTTACAGACAACATTTTCAATTTTTTTAAAATAATTAATTCACAGAAGTAACTTTCTGCCTAGAAATGGTGGCAAAAACATTTACAATTTTTTCATAAAATATTATTTATGCTAGTCTGGTTTCAGGATGTTTGGAAGAAAAAAATGTTTTAGAAAGAACACCAACTAACCCATAGCTCAAACCCCCAACTCATTTTCGGATAGATTTAATAATTATTTCTTTAAAATATTTTAAATATTTAATATTTTAAATAAAACAGCTTCACTTTTTTATATAAAATTTGCATTAAAAAGCTAAAAAGCGATGAACGTACTAGCGAATGGTCACAAACTAAAAGTGAACCGTGGTATTAATTGTTTTTTCTCAGGTACGAAAGTGCACACGTTTCCTTATTCTTACAAAATAATTATATAAAATATAATATTTTAAAAAAATCTATCTAAACATAAAAATTAAAGTTGTTTTATTCATGTTTACTGGTAGAGTTATTGAATAATTCGTTTTTGATAACTACAATCCATAATTTTGTTTCTACAAATGAAAAGTTGGAAACATTTTAATATGAGTGTGTTTTCTGACCACACAAACTCTTTTTACGTCTAGGGTAGCAAGGCTTCAAAGTTCATTAATTTTTTATCTGTTCTGTGTTTTTACAGAAGAACAAGAAAAATGATGGGCGATAACGTGAGTAATAACATAACGCGAGGTGTTCTTCATTTAGTCGTCGATTCTGCCGGATTTATTAGAAATGCTCCGTTGAAGGTTAGCTCGTTTTAAAATTGCTCAATAAACGATTTTGCGGTTAACTTTACTTACATGTTAAACTTTGAAGCTTTAGTCCTAATTCTTAAATATCTTAAGACTTAATTAGTAACACTCTCTAAAGTCTAAACTAAACTAAAACAGTTAGTAAGTCAGTTAATGAATCACTTGCTAGTTACTAACTTCATAACTCTATTTTAATTTTAGGATTTAGGCGAGAACATCTACACTATCCAGGAGGTGGTTAGTGAGATTAAGGACCCGGCCACAAGGATGAGGTTGCAAGTCCTGCCATATGACTTGAATTTCAGATGCCCTAGTCACGATTCCATAAAAGCAGGTTTTTTTATTTTTTGAACTAATTTCATTTTTAATTTCGTTTGAAAAATTATTTCACACAAAAATTTTATTAAAGATGATTTCAGATTGTAATAAATAGTGATTTATTTCTGAGTTTTTTACTAAATTTATAATGTTGAATGTTCCCATCGCATTTTTTCATTCCTGTTTGTGTTAAGTGACAGATTTTTCTAAAAAGACCGGAGATTATCAATCTTTATCAGCTGTTGACTTGCGCGTACTGGCCCTGACCTACCAACTAGAAGTCGAACACGTAGGAAAGGATCACATCAAGACTGCTTCAACCAAAACCGTTATTATTATTTTAATGATATTATTGTAAAATTAAAAAACATTTAATTTTAAATATAAGGAATTATTGAAATATAATTAATATTATTATTATATATAAAACTATTATTAATAAAAGTTAATTTGAATTATCATTGAAAAGTCTTATTAGCATCATTATATTGATGATTGTTATTTCAAATTTCAGAATAGTGTGATTTATATTTGTAATAATATTATTTAAATAAATAATTTATATTCAAGGTTTAATAATAATAATATTATTTATTTGAATAAATAAATAATTTATTTTTATGTTTATAAGGTTAAATGTGAAATAAAAAACTCCAGAACCGATCCATTGCCTATTGGATTTTATTCTAGCAAGAAGCAAGTTCGTAACCAAATTCAAAAATTAATTTATCAAAAAATTAATTAAATTATTTAATTTAAAAAAATAATTTATTAATTACTTATTAATGAACTAATTTGATTAATTATTCATAATTAGTAGTTATTCATAAACAAAATTATTATTTACCATAGAAGACAACGACTTCAGAATGTCAGAATGAGATTTTGACGCCGGCAAACACGCCTGCTCAACAGCATGAATTGAATGATGACAACAATAACAACAACAATGAGGAAGACGTTGGCAAAAACATCATCATCAACAACACTAACGACGATGACGGTAACAAAGGCAACAACACTTCCGATGTTGCCAACATATGTACAAATAATAATAATATTTACAATGGCGGTAATTATTCATTTGAAAGAAACAATGATGATAGCGATGGAAAATTTGGAATTGACATCTGCAAGTTATCCCTGGCTCTCAAAAATGCCGCCAAAAAAGATGGAGAGAGTGACGAAAACGAGGAAAGAGATGATGATGATGGTGACAAGGAGGAAGAGACTTGCAGTGCTGATGATAGTCATGATGACGATGATAATGATGATGATGACAAAAGTGAGTCTGAGGAAGATTTTGAAGGTGAAACAACCATGCAAGGTGATGTTGCCAATGAGGGTGATGATGATGATGAGGAAGAAGAGGAAGAGGAAGAAGATGATAAAAATAAAGATGATGACGACGACGACGATGATGGTGGCTGGGTGACAGTGTCAAACATAAAAAGTTTGATGAAGTCCAACCCCAACCAGCACATCAATACTGTGAATGAGCAGATTGTAGTTGCATGTTTAACTACTGATTTTGCTATGCAGGTTGTGATTCTTCTCTGATGTATGTATGCTTTTTTGTAATCAGTTACATTGGTTAATGCTATGCTGCGTTTGTTATTGTCATTGTTCTTCATGTCATTAATGTCATTTCATTGTTAAGTCATGTACACACTTAGACACATGTACACACACACCACACGCACGCACGCACATACATACAGACACACACAATTTATTTTTCTATACTACTGCAGAATGTACTTATACAAATGGGACTGAGGGTTTTATCAGTAGACGGTCTACTCATCAAACAGACCAAAAATTATGTGCTGAGGTGTCATGCATGTTTGAAGTAAGTTTGTGGGTGTGTGTGTGTCTTGTGTGTGTGTGTGTGTGTGTGTGTGTCGTTGTGTGAGTCTGTGAATTTTATTTCAGGATTTTGAAGATTATTTAGCTTTAATTTGTCAATGAAATATTTCTATTTGCGCGCGCGCGCGCGCGCGTGTGTGTGTGTAAGTTCTTTTTTTTTTTCTTGTTTTTATAAATTTTCGGGTGATTTTTGTTATTTTCTAATATTTCTGTAATTGCATTTCTATTTTCATTTGGTTTTAATTCATTTCCTAACATAACAAGGAATTTTTAATCTAAGCCAAGTCGTGAAAAGTAGAACTCGCCAGGCTATTAAATGTTATCATCATTATTATCAATCAACCTTTGCAATTATTTGAAATTGATATGAAATGGAGTTTGTTCAGTGGCTTTTTTTTTATAGAATATTAATAACGCTCGTTTACAATTTTGACATGTCTATGTTTTCATTTATTATCGTTGTTGTTATTTTATTATTATTGTTGTTGTTATTATTGTTATTTACTTTTTCAAAACAGGATAACAAAAAACATGATGAAAAAATTCTGCTCCCACTGTGGCAACCAAACCCTTCAGAAAGTCTCCATGTCAATCGCCGAAGATGGAAGTGTCGTCTGCCATCTATCCAAATACAAAATACCCTCCGCCAGGGGTACAAGGGTGTGTGTATTTTATGTTTGTAGTTGTGTTTGTGCGTGTTTCGTACGTGCGTATATGCGTGTGTTTATGTTTTTGTATGCACATATATTTCAAAGAGTGTATACGTATCACGAGCTATCTGGTTTGATGTAGTTAGTTAATGAATAATATATAATTATTTCATAAATTGTTATCTGTGTATTGCACTCACCATCTGTAGTTGTGTAACTTTGGAGGTTCTTTTATTTAAAAATAAAATTTTTGAACGTTAGCACTCTTTTCCCCACACACGCCTTCTTTATGCATACAATCGCCTACGTCAGAGCAATGTATGCACTCATACCTATGCCGCATAAAAGAAATACATTTACACATACAAACACACATTCACTGCTCACAAAAATGCATTATTTGCACATGCAGGCACACGTTCATGGCGTACAAAACACGCACACACACACTCACACACACATACACGTATATATTCACACACACACAGTATTCCCTGCCAATGCCAAAAGGTGGCAAATATAACCATGATCCAATCTTATGCGAGGATCAACTAAAGACCAAACAACGTACCAAGAAAATGTCCAAAGTCGTTGACGTTTTCGACCCTGACTACTTGGGCCTTAGCTCTCCATTCGCTCTCAATGACGTCACCAGTAGGGCGACGTCACTCGGCTTCAACAAGAAATCGAGAAGATCGGATGTCGTGGATGTTTTTGATGGCAGGAGGAAGAATCCTAACGAGAGTAGGAAGAAAACGGGCAGACGAAAATAGGAAATAAATTTGCGCGCGATTTTCAGTCTTTGAGTTCATTTGTATATGTGCGAGTTTTTTTAAACTAACTTTTAAGATTTGATCTTAACTTTCTTTCATCTGTGACTTTTTCTGTTAAGATTTGGTCTATATTTTGATTTTTTTCTAGTGGTGTGGCTGAAATGTTTCAAGGCAGGTTTGAAAAACTCTATTTGTCTAATAATAGCTATAATAATATTATATAAGTTATATTTTATTTATTTATTCAAAAAAATATGATTCCATTAATTTAAATCCGAGATTGACAATCTTCCGTTTACTGACCAGTCGACTGGGGACGAAATTAGTGACGATGATAACGTAGGTGATGCTGGTGATTGTGCCGTATCTAACTTAGGTTTTATCCTAACTGGAGGTGTTGTTAAAATACGTTTATTAAGATATATGCGATAATAAATAAGTTTATTAGGCATTTTTAGATAGATAGATAGATAGATAGATAGATAGATAGATAGATAGATATTTTATTTATTGAAACAATAATAGTGAAAAAAGTTATAAAATTTAGATAAATGGGTAATAATGAAAACTTCATTGCTACTACAACCTCTTTTTTTATGGTATCTTTTATTTTTATGACTCATCTTTGAAGTTGTTGCTGGGCTAGGATAGATTTTGTTATTCTTCGCTGCTTTGTGGTCGGCGTCGTCTTCTTTATCTAAAAAAAACGTTGGTGCAATGCTACAAAACTTAAACATATTGTATGTGAATGTCTATGTGTATGTAGATATTTCCCTCTCTCTCTCTCTCTCTCCCCTCTCTCTCTCTCTTTCTCACACACGTATACACACCTTGATAAATCTATCAACGACGATAACGTTAATACAAAAAAAGTTGAATGGTTGGTTGACAGAATGATTGATTCATAACTTGATTGATTGATTGTTGGATCGATTGAATGAACGTGTGTTTCTTTACGTTACTTACAAAGATATTCATGTATAAACGACGGAGTGTGGAAGCCTTCGTCTTCCAACGCCTTCAATTCTCTCCTATTTCTTTCATATTCCAATCTAATTTAATTAGTAAGTTTTTTTACACTATTACTAAATAGTATTGTCACTACATTTACTAATAATACTGTCACTAGTAACTAAATTTGAACCATCGTTATTACTAATAATTTTGGTAACCAGCGGCGGATGCAGACAAAGTTGACGGGGGGGAGGGTAAAAATTTTAAAATTAACGATGGGGCAAAAAAGGTCATGGCCCCACCACGGCCCTCTAGATCCGCTACTGATTGTAACTAACTTCAGACTATGTATCGTCCTGTAACAGTCGTCTCTCAGGCCGTCAAAATATTTTATCCTGTTCATTTCACTCAGATCATATTCATTATCATCGTTAAAGTCGTTATTATTATTGTTATTAATATTATTATTATTGCTGTTGTTATTATTGTTCTTACTCTTTACGTTAAATATTTCTTGATTCCTGGAGTTGACTATTGGCCTAAAGGCGCTGTTGGCATAATCGTAATTATTATCTGTATAATTGTTATTGTTATAACCGTTATAATTAGTGTCGTGTTCGACGCCATTGTTGGCTAAAGTTCGTAAAAAATTTTCGGGATTAATTATCTTTGGTGGCGTCATAAAATTTGGACGTGTAGACAAATCATTGTCGTCGATGTTATGCGATGGGAAGCCGATGTCCTTGGGGTTGTTCCAATTTGAATGTAGTAACATACTAGCTGGTTGATAACTAGATTAGTGATAACAGAATTGACTTAATATTTACAATTAATGAAGAGCTCAACATAATTTTGATTGTTTATATTGAAAGAATAACTAAAATAATATTAACGAAATGTTGAAATTTATCAAGAAATTGCTATATATATTAGCTATTTCTTGATATATTAGCTAAAAAAATTATAGAAATGTCACCTCGTCAAATGGGCTTTGCTATTAAGATAAATTGTTAGTTCTTTTTGGGCTACTTCTAAATCATTGAGTTTTTGGTGTAAAGAAAGATTTCTTTTTTCTAACTTATTCATTTTATCAGAAACAATTTTCACAAATTCATCAACTTGGTTCTCGTAATCAGCGTTTTGGTTAAATTTTTTTATGAAATTTTCCATCTGAATGTATTTGATACCATTCCTTTGGGATTGCACTAAAAATGATAGGACGTTTCTGAACTCATCTGGACAAATTTTATTAGATATTTTAAGTGTGGAAAGTGATTTTTTCAGTAAATTATTTATCAGTGAACAATGAATATTCTTAAAAATGTCCAAAAATTATTAAAAAAACGATTTAACGATATAAAGTTTACGTTGAAAATACGTCACTTTTCAATTGCATAATCGTTCTGTTCATGAGAATAACGTCATTTCTTTGATACTCCAAATTTTCATTAGCATACGAAATCTTTAATTTTTATTAAAAATAATATTTTTAATGAGTAATGAATTCAGTTTATAATTGGTGGCAGTGTAGGTGAATTTTTTCAATAATGACACTTAGTCAATTATAAAAATTATTCATTTGAAAGAAATAAATTACAAACATGATTGTCTGGCTGACTGTAGTTGTAAAATGATGAAACTTTTGGTTTAAAAATTTCAATTGAATTGATTGCAGACAGATTTTTTTGTAGGCGTTCTAAGTTTGAAACGTTTTCATGAGATTGTAATTGTATAGAGGATTTATCATTGAGTGATTCCTTGAAGTTATTTGTCTAAAAATGTGAAATATTAAATAAATTAGGTTGAGTTGATTTAATATTTTAATTTAATAAAAATATTAAATTAATAATGTTGATTGATTAATAGTTGATTGATATATTAATTACATTAATTAATTACATGATACATTAATGATTAATTAATTAAATTTTAATCTTTCATTTTTTAAATCTTAGACAAAATTTTACAAACTTTTATTTTATTCAAATTTGTGCGTGTTTCTTCAACAATACTGTTGAAATTATTGGACCATTCATCATATTTCAACATATTTGGGAAATTATATTGTATATTTATTCTGCATGGAATAATAATTAATTTAAATTCCGTTGTTATAGAGACCCAAAGAAGCTTAGCATGTGTATTATGGTGAAAGTAAAGTGAAGTAAATAAAACCTTCATCAAGCTTCTTATCTATTTCAATTCAACAGCAACATTTTTTACATAATCGTTACTTATATTATAGATTTTAAATGTTTGTGCAAGAAATATTATATTTTAAATACTATGTTAATATCTTAAATGAAACGTTGAGTCTTTAGATTAACCTTTTTCCTGGTCGAGCTATTTGACTTCCTTCGATTGTTGGCTTATTGGCTTACTTACGAAAGTGAGTGAGTTTTAACGATCAAGCCAATGAACTCCTCCACAACAAATGTCGGCGTCCAAGGTCTGACTTGAAACGAAAAGAAACCGCAAAGAAACGAACCGCAAAAGCCGGTCGTCAAAAAAAAGGATCGCGAATCATCATCATCGATATCGCAATGCAATCAAATTATGAACTTTTACAATTTTTGAAAAAGTATCTATGTTCATGTTATGATACTGCATATTTCAATAAGATACTGTTTGATATTGTACTATCAATTAACCAGTCAACAAATCAATCAATCAATCAACAAATAAATCAAATCAACTGACCGATCAAACAATCATTTAACTAACCAATTAAACAATCAATTTATCAAGCAATAAACCTTGAATTATGTAATTTGAAATTATTTTTGTCAATTTTAATGAAAATAATGCAATTTCGCAAGGAAGCTAGCCTATGGCTTTATTAAACGGTAGATTAGCCACCTCTTTTTTGAAAAAAGAGGCAGTATTTTTATTTAAATTGACAAAAATAATTTCAAATTAAATAATTCTATTTAGTAGTGAATCTTTAGTATTAGTTTGTTAAAACCCATACAATTTCGTTAGTGAGTTAATAAGCCAATATGCCAATAAGTCAAATAGCTCAACCCACTTCTTCCATAGTTTGAATATAAATCCATTTTGGGTGAACTTGTTGTCATTTTTCCGGCCTTGGTGCCACGTCAATTTTCAAGAAATTTTAAGGTACGATTGTCACCGGTTAGTATTTTTTGTTGTTCGTTAATTTAATTTTATTATTTTAAAATTTATTACAGAATTTTAAATTAGATTTGCATAACCGACGGAATTCTTCAATTTAATATTTAACTTAACATTTAACAAGCTGCTCATACTCCTCCATCTGCCTACATTTCTCAGCATCAACCTCACATTTTTTGTTGATTGACTGCTGTTTTTTTTTCCTAACATTTTTTCATCCATTCATTAGATCAGTTGTTAATTTTGTTGTTGTCTAATGCTAATCCAAATTAATCTTCAAAATTTTTTAGCTGTTACATACTGGTACTTTAAAACGAAAGGAAAGAATGAAGTTGAAAGAGATTGACAGAACGGCAAATGTTGCGTGGTCGCCGGCCAGCCAGCACCCGATCTACATTGCCGCTGCTACTGCTGCCCAACAACTGGATGCCACATTCAAGTTTCCATAATTGATTGCAATAATTGTTTTAAAAATAATAATAAATGGTAGCAATGAGTATAATTAATATGTAATAAATAATGTTGATTACAAGTAAGAAATTGTTCCAACTGATGATATTTTTTAAAAGTACATCTTCCCTGCTTGAGCTCTACCAGATTGATCTAGGAGATCCGAGTTTTGAAATGGAAGTTTCCGGATCAATTCCCACTGAATTAAGGTCAGTTTGATACTGTTGTTGCATTTCCATATAAATGCATGCTTGTGGATGTATATGAGCTTGTGGCTTGTATATGCTTTATACATTTGTTCTTTAACCCTTGCTAGCATGTTTGTATTTTTCTGGTTTATTGTTTAATGGCTAGTATTTTATTTAATCATTAGTTTCTTAGATTTATAAAATTTACCAGTTAATACATTAATTGTTTTTGAATAGATAAATCAAATACATAAGGTTTTGTAATTTGTATGACTTTTTTTATATTTTAATATTTATTTTTTGATATTGACAAGATTGCACAAGCTGGTGTGGTCTTCGGCTTATACATCCGAGAATGGTGATACTCCAGATCTTCTCATTGGTAAGTCAACTATCAATATTGTTCTTTCAGATATTCTAATTTTTTTCAAACAACCTTCAAACTTAATATAGAAATGAACCATATTTAAATTTTATATAAATAGATAAAGGATAGAACAAATAATAATCACTTTATCATACTTTCATTCTGATCTTTCCATCTTTCCCACAAGGCGGTGCTGAACAAGGAAAGATGTACATATGGAATCCAAGCAAGATTCTTCGGAGAGAGGAGCCACTAACACATCTCATGGACTTACACACTGGGGCAGTGGCTGCACTTGATGTCAACCCTTTCCAGGTATGCACTTGTGTGTGTGTGTGTGTGTACTTGTGTGTGTATGTGTTTGTTTTCGTACATACATATGAATTTATGTATGTATGTCTTTACTATGTCTTTATACTGGGCTATTGCTAATTTATTGTTTAATTGCTCTATGGTCCGTCAGCTCTTTTATGAATTGTTGTTGGTGGTTTTACTCTTCTTCATTTTTTTCTGTCTTTTTCTTGCTAAATCTTAATTGTTTTATATGTCAGGTTATGTTTGGCATTGTTTTGTTTGTCTTTCATTTATAATTGTTTGGTAATGGTTAACTTTTTTCATTACCATTTCAAATTTGTTTGGTGTTATTAGTAATTTGTTATTAGACTTTATATTATGATCATAACATTAGGAGTATGCCTTTGTATACTTTAATTATGATAATAATAATTAATTATATTATTTATAATATATTATTATTGTAATATGTTGCGTGTAATATTTTAATTATAGCCGAATCTGCTGGTTTCGGGAGCAGGAAGTTCTGAAATATACATCTGGGATCTCAACGATCCTGATAACCCAATGACACCTGGTTCGAAAGCGCAGGTAGGTCATTGTGTATGTAGCTGTAGTGTATGTGTGTGTACTTGTGTTTGTATGTGTGCATTTGTGTGTGTGTATTTTTATCTGTGTGTATATATATGTGTGTGTGTGTATGTATTTTTGTCTGCCTCTCTCTCTCTCTCTCTCTCTCTCTCTGTGTGTGTGTGTGTGTGTGTGTGTGTGTGTGTGTGTGAATTTACCGGATAAAATCCTGATTTATAAAAATAGGCTTATAAATATGATCAATTGAAACAAAAATATGACATGAAAAACTAATGATAAATTTATTATAACCAACTAGTTATAATTAAATCACAATTGACTAGTTATAATTTTATAATAATTATGTTATATTAATAAATGATAATTTTTTTTCTTTAGCCATTGGTGGATGTAACACATGTAGGCTGGAATAAACAAGTTCAGCATATCCTTGCCTCGTCTCATTCAGGTCTCTTGTGTTTATTCATTTTATTTTTTCTTTTTATCATAATAATAATAATAATTATTATTATTGTCGTTGTTGTTGTTTTGGGTATTATTTATGTAGTTTTCCTTGGTTTTACTAAATTGTTTTTCTTTTCGATTATGATAAGAGTGATGATTGAATCACTGATGATAATAATATTGGTGATGATGTTAGTTAATTAGTTAATTATAATTGATTAATTATTTAATATTGTTAACTATAAATCCACCTATAGGCAACTGTGTTGTTTGGGATCTTCGAAAAAACGAGCCAATCATTAAGATTCGAGACAGCATGTCCAGAGTAAGTGATGATGAAGATGGTGACGGTTATTATGAATGAGTGTATGGTAGTTTGCCTCAGTGAGTATACAATGGCTATGATGACGAAATAGATGATAATTATGGAGAAATATGATGAAGTTATGGTGGAGATGATTAGCATATCATTAACATGTGTGACTTATACTACCACATCAGCACCATCATCATCCGTACCATCTACATCATCATATCAATTACTCACACCACATCATCATCATCATCATACGATCTACTCACTTCACTTCAAATTGTCGTACACCCACTTACAAAAAAACAAACCTCTACCCCCACAGATAAAGTGCAACACAGTATGTTGGCACCCCGACGTGGCCACGCAACTCTGCATCGCCTCCGAAGATGACCACTCCCCCGTCATACAGGTCTGGGATCTCAGGTCTGCCTCCTCTCCAATTAAAATCCTCGAAAATCATACCAGGTTTTTTTTTAGAGTGTTATAATAATTTTTTATCATTTTTATAAAAACTTTCTTCATTAATTATATTAACGCGGCCACTACAATTTGCAGAAAAAATGACCAATGAGGTTTTAATAAGTAACCTGACCTAATAAACCTACTGCATTACCGAATTGCTCCACTCAGTGAACTGGCCCAATCAATAACTGAACTGACCAGATTGTTGAACCGACCTACTTAATGAACTAACCTTAATGTTCTGACCAATCAGGGGCATACTTTCTATGTCGTGGTGTGTCAAGGACGCTGATTTGCTGCTAAGCTGTGCAAAGGATAACAGGATATTGTGCTGGAATCCCAACTCAGAGGCTCAACATGGAGATGTCAGTGATGACGATGATGATGATGATGCTGTTGTTGATGATGATGTTGATGATGATGCCAATGGTGGCAGTGATAAAAATAAGTGTCATTATTAATAAGAATATTCTTGAATATAAAAATTTGCAACAACTGTAACAGCATCAGTAGTGAATGACTCTAGAAGAGGATAATGATGGCAATAATGATGGTGAAAATTCACTTTTAAT